CCGACGCTGCGAACGCCGCGAACCCCTACCCAGAGTGTGCTGTCGCCGCCGTCGCCGTCGCCGCAGCCGCACGGCCAGTCGCTGTCGCCGCCGCTGAAATCGCATCCTTCACCGGTAATGGCGCCGCCACCGCCGCCGCCCCCACCGCCGCCGCCACCGCCGCTGTCGTCGCCGCCACCGCCGCCATCGCCGTCGAGACGACCGCCGCCAGCAACATCGCCTCCGCCGCCGCCATCGCCACCACCACCATCATCACCGCCGCCGTACGGCGGCGACGAAGAACAAAGAACTTCGTCCGAATACGTAAGGTTGGATTCCGTTTCGTCATCGGCGTCGTACACGTCCGAAGACTGTCCACTTTGCGATGTCAACGAGGTACGATTCGTGTGTGGCGCTGACGACATTACTTACCAGAGCGCCTGCATGGCCGAGTGCTTCGGAATCACGGTGGCTAACCAGCTGGGGCCCTGCAGGTGACGTCGTTTTTAGGTGGATTGAGAAGTCCACGAGGGGAGTTTTGTGAAAAGGCGGGGCGCGGGTTGCAGACGTTGGGGAAGGGGGAGGGGGGAGAGGTGCAGTTCGTACAAGTGTTGGTTGGTGTGTTGGTTGCAGTACAGAGGAGGAAGATGCGAGCGAGGGGAGACCAGTGGAACGGCGCCGCGTATGCAAGCGGGGTCGGGTGGTTGGGTGGTTAGGTGGTTGGGAGGAGGATCAGGAGGAGGAGGCGGAGGAAATGTGTGAGGCTGGAGCTTACGCACAGGGAAAGGCGGGGGCGATGCAAACACACACACACACATACATACACATATACACACACACACAATCACGCGCGAGCTGGGGTTTGGATAATCCACGACCCCGCGGGAAGATGACGTTCGCGACACATTCGAAAAAAAACTTTATCCTGGTGCGCCCGCGGTCGCCGCGCGGCTAATTACATGGCCGGACTTGGATTTGAACCGAAGATGTTGAGCCGGGAAGCTTGTGGCCGGCTATCTTTATCCATTGATACGGTATTGATTACATAATAGCATGAAGATTGACTAATCGCACTTGGGGTATGATGGGCTGATCCGCATTTCGGTGTTAGTTGTGCGCGCTGCTGGCGTGCGTGTGTGGCTGTGCGGCGTTTTCCGAGCTCCTTGGAGACAGGCTGTCAAGGAGGCGGCGCAAGGAGGTGATACGTATAAAGATTATATTTTTCCATTCCTACAGTCGCCAATAGCCCGCCAGTTGTCAGGTCATCCTACTTCGCCCACCATCCGCTTTTACAAACCGCCCGCCATTGCCGATATAGTATACTATAAAGCAACTTTATAAACTTAAACATGGTAGGTCCAGGGAGGGGGGGGGAGGAGTAAAATCGCCATGATCTGTGAGGGGGAGGGCAATACGGTAGCAGCAGTAAAAAGTCGCGAGCGGCCAGCACAGTCCAATGCTTTCAGGGTTTCCGCTGTGCTTTGTTTTGAGGCAAAATTTATCACCTTCCGTATATTTTCCCGTATAGATGTGTTTGAAATGAACGCCTCCTCGGTTAAATACGGAGGATTTGTTCGGAGGTCGTTAGTTAGTTTTCCGTTGGTTGCGGCATGCCGGCGTTTGCGGCAGGTGAACATAAGAAACTATTTTGCGTGTAATCTTTATCAATTGGACTTCCGAGCCCCATTTCCCTACAAAGCTCTTTCAACTGGATGGTCCAAAATCGCGCGGAGGCACGCCAAGGGTGTTGCCCGGCTGCAGAGCTGTGGGCGCCGCGTGGGGAAGGCCTTATGAGGTCCTTATGAGGGCCTTATGAGGGCCTTATGAGGGCCTTATGAGGAGGGCGCAGCGGGATGCCAGTCCTGAAGGTGATGACGTGTACTGGTGACCGCCTTGATGGGCCGAGCTAATCATCATTTTTGCCGTACCGTGGAGCGTGGGCGCCAGGGCGGGGGGGGAGGGCCGATGGCAGAGTGCATGTGGGGGAGGTGTGAGTGCGTGTGCGTGGGTTGGGTTGGGTTGGGTTGGGGGACGGGGGGTCAGAGACTTAAAAAGAGTGTTGTAATCCGTTCCTGGGTGCAATCGTGGAATTGCGATCTCCCCTCATCCTTACGTAATCCTCGTGGGAGCGGAGGAGGTAACAGGGGGATGTATGGGTCGCTCAGCTAATGATCGTACTCATGGTCATGGTGATCTTGGTGGTTACATACATCTGTACATATGTATGTATGTACGTGTGTGTTGTGGGGGTTAATTATCGGTGTTGCTGCTACTCTCTAAGCGGATAGTAATATAGTTGACTGTTGCTGGCATTATCAGGCCCGTGAGAACCATCAATTTCGTATTAGATCTATCCTTACACCGATTCTGCTGTGTACCATTTCTCCGACCATTAATGATGAGCTGGTGTATGGCTGGTTGTTCGTTGGCAGCAAGCCCGCGATCGATCGATGTGCTTTGTCGTGCACCTGATTCCTGCATGATTCATGTCGTAGCTAGGGGTAGGGGTGCGCGAGACGAATGTGAATATGTGATATGGAAGTTGAAATATCCACATTCCAGAAAGCCACCTGCAATTGATTTTTATGTAGCCTGAAAGCAGTTTAGCCGTGCTGTCGTCGCCGTGTTACGTCTTACAGGTTTGCTGCACCTTCCCCTCTATCTGCTGCCCCCCGCATCACCATCACCAGCCGCCCGTGGCAACTGACCTTTGGCTGTTGTTGTACGGGCAGTACGGGTAATCTCTTCGTATGGACGATAGTAGACATGTTGCCAATGGACTTGGCAGTTGGCCGTTATCTTGTGCTAACAATTACCTACCTACTACTTCGCAGGGAAGCCGCTCCTGCATGCACTTGCCTGTGTATGTGCTTCTGTATGTGCATCTGTAGGTATGCGCGCGTGCATGCGAAGATGTGAGATATGTATGTGTGTATGTATATGTGTGCATGTATATGTGTGTGTATGTGTGTGGGGGAAAATGTGTGTTACACGGTTCGGGGTGCGTGACCCCATACCTGTAAAACTATCCATACGAGCCGAGAGCCCAAGGGCAAGACCTGAACGCCTAAAAGAAAAGAAATACCGCACCATCCGCCCAGACCGCCCAAAGGGGATATCTGAGTTGCGGTGAGCCCACATACGTTCCAACATCTCGCCAGACGTGCTGGCTCCCATTTCATGGCCTCCAACATGCTCTGTTGATATTTGAATCCTTCTCTCGCGCGAATATTGTTATAAGCTGAGCATTCCAAGAACACGTGTTTTCATCCTCAACTTTGCGTAGATGTAAATGTATGTATGTATGTATGTATGTATGTATGTATGTATGTATGTATGTATGTATGTATGTATGTATGTATGTATGTATGTATGTATGTATGTATGACGTTGATTACACTGTGGGCTGAAAAGCCGGGGGCCCAGGGCCGAAGCACAGCGCGAGGGGCGGGTGCATGTATGATGTGTGAAACAGGGGGGTGTATCTTCGCCCGTGGCAGCTACCCTGCGAAACCCTGCCTTCCCCGGTATTTCGGGGCACCCTCATCCAGTCACCCTAGTCAACTTCTCAGTGGATCGCTCAGGTTCCGCACCCACCACCAGCATCCAACGGAATCTGCCGGGTCGACAGCGGCCCAACTCCATTCCTGGTCGGCTCGCAGGTTAACTTTATCCCAGGTCACCACCGTCCATCAACTAGGGGCGCAATGCCTTCCACCATCGGAAGGACTTTTGACCCTAATGGGTATCGATCCCGGGATCTCCCGGGGGCAATGGTCGCGCATTACCAGTAGTGCCAAACCCTAGTATAATGCATGTATGTATGTATGTATGTATGTATGTATGTATGTATGTATGTATGTATGTATGTATGTATGTATGTATGTATGTATGTATGTATGTATGTATGTATGTATGTATGTATGTATGTATGACTTAGATTACACTGTGGGCTGCGAGAGCCGGGGGCCGAAGCCGAAACACAGCGCAAGGGTCGGGAGCACACAGCACAAGTCGGTTAGTCTTGTGTGCTCCCGACCCCGACTCAGACTGCCAGCACTCTACGCAGCCACTCCGCAGCCCCCCCATCCGGGGGTGGCGCTGCATTGAATACACCACGAAGGGCTCTCAGGTCCCGCTAGAGCGAGTCCACAAGTCTCAGCTAGGGCAAAGTCAAAGGCTCTCTGAAACAACCCCCCAAAACACCACCAACGGAAACGGGATTCGAAGGGAAAACAAACAAACAAAAATTCGGTTGGGGCAGTCCCGGCAGGGGAGGGCTCCTGATATACCCAACAGGCCAACAAAAAAACACCTCCAAGAGAGAACGGCTAAGAGAGCTCGACACCACAAGACGTCTTGCAACCACCTTAAAACAACTGACCTCCACCACCTGTCCCTTCCTGGGCTGGTCCAGGGGAGAAGTAGCCTTATAAAGAAAAGGGATCCCGCACAAGCCTGATCACCACTGCAGGGGCCCGGGATAGTCCGGCGAAACCACAAAAGCGTTATCGTTGCCACGACACACAGCTCCTAGACCCTCCAGAAAACCGCAGGGGGAGGATTGTAGCCCACGCGGCGCCTCCCCCTTACCGCCACTAACCTGAACGGTTGGTCCTCCGGAAACCTATTCACCCTGTCTCGTACTGCACCGCTCTCACCCTCGTCCCTCACCAAGCAACCCAGTCCCACAGAGAAGACGTGTCTAAATAGAATGGCCCTTCTCGGGCCACATCTCCCCCTCATCCGAGCCCCGCTACCACCACCAGACTCACCTCCCAAACACCAGAAAACCTACGTCCTTTTGGCGCTCTCACCGCCATCTCCCCCCTCCCCTGTCCGAGCGACCCCACCTCCCCCCGGCTCTCCAGCACCCTACAAACTCGGAGCGGCACTAGGGAAGAAAAAGGGTTCTTCCCTGCACGACGTGACCGCCTCCATTCCCCGTCCTTCTCCTCTCCCTCTCCCGTCTCGGGGTTCCCTCTCATCTATTCCCTTGTCCTCCAACCCCCATCCCCTTCGAACTCCTATACCCCCCCGAGCCCTGCCCTACAAACTAAGCTCAAAGCTCTCTTAGGCAATAATCTCCACCGCTTCGGCGCACCGCAGTGCGCCTTCTGAAACCGACAGGATCGGGTGGTCGGGTCCCACCCTGTCCCAGCCTCTCCGCGGGGTGCCCAGCACCGTGAAGGAGCGCAGACGCGCCCAGAAGTCCACCACTGCCCGGGCGCGGGCCCGCTCCAAGGGGGTTGCTGCGGGTGCTGCTGCCGCCGCGCCTGCCGTTGCTGCTACCGCCCCTGTCGCCGTGTTCCGCTCCTGCGTTTGGTCCTCATCCCCCGGCGCATTCAGTGCAGGCCCCGTCTGCGGTCCCGCCCCGTCGGCCTGGATGAAAAAGTCCGTTATCCGCCTCTGCCTGGGGCCGGGTACCTGCACCTGCTGCGCGTGCTCCCGGTTCTGTGGTCCTTGGCTCCCAGCTCGTTCCTGCCTCCTGCCCGCTGCCCTCAGGCAGCATCTGCCAACCTCCATGGCAGACAGGGCCGACAGGGCGATTATATCCCATACGGCCTGTTCGCATCCGGTTGGGGCCAGTAATAGCCAGAGTTGCTTTCGGGTGACTCCCCCTACCGCCGCTTCCTGAGAAGACTGTAGATGCCGGTCGATTTGTGCCCGCACCGCCTGCGCCACCGGGCATTCCCAAAAGTGATGCATGCGTGGCGAGCATGGCTGGCCAGCTGCTCCACCGAATCCGCCACATCCACAGCATTCTGGAGTCATGCGGGCTAGGTGCGTGTTGCCCGGTAGGGGGACGCCATCCACTGCAAGCCGCCATAACGTCTCCTTATTCTCATTCTCCCATCGTACCCCGGACCATACGCGGGCCTGCGTCGCCCTGAATAGGCTGATTTCCGAGGGGGGCGGCGGCGACGGGCCCTGAGGATCCGTCGCCTCCCGCACAAATTCAGCTACCAGGCGTCTTCTCCTCTCCTCCATAGGCCCACATTGCAGCTGTGTCGCCAGGCGAACCGTGAGGCGTGCCAGCGGGATGGCTTCCGCCATCCCAGGTATACGCCACCCAATTCGCCCAGCAATCATACCCATCGTTTGCATGCTGGTCAGCAGTGGTGCTGGTGACGGTATGACAGCCTCCTCCCCTCCCGTTGCCGCTGCCATCGGTTCCGTTAGCCCCCGCTGCTGCTGCTGCTGCTGCTGTCGCCGGGTCTCAACCGTTCTAGCAGCTTCGAGCCAGGCCGGGTTTATGCTGCTATGCAGCGCCGCGAGGGCTGCCCGGGTCACGGGTTTATCCCGCGTGGAGATCGGGGTAAGCGGGTCGAGGTGAGTCTGGGCCCACTCCAGCCACGCCGTCCTAGGGAGGGTTGCCAGATCGCTGCTCTCTGCCAGGGCCCAAACCCGCACCAGGTCCCCTACCGTCTGTAGTTTCTTGCAGGTGGCAAGCCCTGGGTATTGGTACTCCAGGCCGGGGCGGCGGCCCCGGTCCGTCGGGACGGTCCCTCCAGCATCGGGGAATAGCGGATTTCCCCATAATGCAGTCGCCCAGCACCAGTCACCGGGTGTCAGCGGGTTGGTCCCGATGTCCTCTGGTGGCGGCAAGTGCCCCAGGGCTCCCACAATCCGGCTGATATCCTTCGGCAGGTCACGAGTCCCAAGCCAGGGCCCAGTTGGGTTCGCGGTTGTCAGGGCCCACGGCTGGAAAGCGGGGTTCGTGAGCAGAAGGTAGGCTGAAAGCGTGCGGACCCAGGGGTGGATACCTCCGCCCACCTGCATATCTGTGTCTGTTGCGCCTGTATCTGATCTCGTGTTGCCTGTTCGCAGCCCTAGGGTTGCGATGACAAAACGAGCTGCCCACACCGCATGCCGGGCTTGGATGTGTTGCCGGAGGGGCAGCAGACCAAAGCCTCCTGTGGATGGGTGACCGATCAGGAGTTCCTTGGGCACGCCAGTCAAGTGTCGGCCTGGATCATCCGGGCCTTGTTGGCGGTCGACCAGGCGAGCCGTGAGTCGCTCTATCTCGTCCAGCACTCGGTCTGGGGCCAGTCCGCCATGCTCCATGTGCCAGGTGACCGTCTGCAAGCCATATGCCGACGCCGCCGTTGCCCTTCCAAATGCTGACAGCGGGAAGCGGGACAGACGCTGCATCCGCCGTTTGGCCTCTCCTAGCCTCTTCGTCCAGTCCGGCTGTGGTGGGGTCACCTGGTTGTCTATCGGCAGGTTCAGGGCAGTAGCAGTGGTTACCACCTTAAGTCCTCCGATTGTCTCCTGCTGGGGGGCTGTTAGCTGGAGTCCTGCTGCTGGCGCCGGCTGCTGTTGTTGCTGTCGCTGCTGGCCAATCCATAGCAGTTCCACTTTCTCCAGATTGAGTCGCTGGCCAGATGCCTGGGCAAATGTTTCCATGGCCTGTAGGAAGGAGGGAACTGATTCCGCGCCATCCAACGCCACTTCCGTGTCATCTGCATATTGGCAGGCGGTGACGGGATTTGGGTCGGACGGTTGCAGCTTAATTCCCACCTCCTGGCTCCGGAGCCAGCATTGGAGAGCTTGGGCGACGAAGAGGTACAGCAGAGGCGCCAGGGGGCAGCCCTGTCGGACACCAGCCTCCATGTCTACCAGCCTGGACTTGTACCCGTTGACCATCGCCCGGGCTCGGGTTTCGCTCAGTAGCAGACGTACCCACGCACACAGCTGTGGCCCTGCCCCCATCGCCTCCATGGCCGCTAGGAGAAAGCCGCGATCCACTGTATCGTATGCTTTGGCAAAGTCCAGGAATGCCAAAAGCCCTTGGCGGTTCTGCTTGCGGAGGAGGTGTGACAGGTGGCGCAGGAAGAGTACGCTGGCCCCAATCAGGCGCTTGGGGAGGAAGGCGGATTGCTCGGGGGTGATGACCCGTCCCAGGGCGGGGCCCAGGCGGTTCACCAGTACCTTAGCAAGGAGCCGGTAGTCCGAGCATAGCAGTGTGATGGGGCGGTAGTTGCCTGGGAGCTTAGGGTCGCCTTTTTTATAGAGCACTGTGATGAT